GGAAGCACTGAACGGCCGTTTCGTCCTATTGTGGGACTCCTCAGCAGTGCGCATCCATGACCCCGCCCCCTGCGAAATTCGAACCCAAGTTATGCTTTTAAAATTAAGGAATTCATTCGTACGTTTATTTATTTTTGCTTTGTTATTTTCAACTTTGTTTGAAAAATTCTAATAATAAAAGTAATGAACTGTACAACCAATTTGTTCATTTGCTTGTTTGTTTGTTTGTTATCACTATTGAGAGTAAACAAAATAAACTTTTTTAAAAAAATAAATATTTACCAAATAAATAAACAGTACAGTACAGTGTGGATTAGTATAAATAATGATAATAATAATGTAATGTACGTCTGGCCAACTAAATTCATTCACTTTCTATTATGTAATCTATTATGTAACTCTGTCATATACAATCCTTCCCAGTTGTTTCCAGTTACTATTCATCCTTTTCATATCTGCTTCCAATTCTCAGCTCACTATGTTCTTTACTGTTTCCCTTCAAGATTTCAAATTAGCGCTTGCCTCGTGATACAGTTTAGTGTTTTCCTGAATGTATGTGCTATTCACTCCCAGTGTTTTCTCATTTCCTCAGCTGGAATTTGGTTTGTTCTCTCTTATAGTAAGCTGTTGCTAATGGTATCCAACCAACAGACATTAATTATCTTTTGTAAACAATTGTTTATAGATCCATCTGTAGACTTTCTATGGTTACTCCAAGTTCTGAGCCTGGATAAAGATGGAGAGTTAGGTATGAGGTTAGCAACAATATCCTATAAAGAAATTTTTTTACTTACACCTGTTACTCCTAATGGAACATAGGCCTCCGAACAGTATTCTCCAACCCACTCTGTCCTGGGCCTTCTTTTCTAATTCCATCCAATTCTTGTTCATTTTTCTCATGTCTATTTCCATTTCCCGGCGTAATGTGTTCTTTGGTCTTCCCCTTTTCCTTTGGCCTTGAGGATTCCATGTGACGGCATGACTTGTGACGCAGTTGGGTGATTTCCTCAATGTGTGTCCTATCCACTTCCAGCCATTCTTCGTCCGGATTTCTTCCTCCTCTCTGATCTGGTTTGTTCTCTTCCACAGTACGTTGTTGCTAATAGTGTCCGGCCAACGGATCTGAAGTATTTTGCGTAGACAACTGTTAATAAACACCTGTATTTTCTGGATGATGGTTTTCGTAGTTCTCCAAATTTCCGCCCCATACAGTAGAACTGTCTTGACATTCGTATTGAAAATTCTGACCTTGGTGTTGGTTGACAGTTGCTTTGAGTTCCAGATGTCCTTCAGTTGTAAATATGCTGCTCTTGCTTTACCGATCCGCGCTTTCATATCTGCATCAGATCCACCATGTTCATCAATGATGCTGCCCAAATATGTAAAGGATTTTACATCTTCTAAATCTTCTCCATCAATTGTGACTGGATTGGTGCATGCTGTGTTGTATCGGAGAATCTCGCTTTTCCCTTTGTGTATATACTGTAAAGAAAACCACTCTAAAAACACATCATCTATAAAAAAATCAATGGAATAAAAAGGTGTAGAAACAATTACCAGATAAGTAAAGTCGTTTTACTATGAGTCTATCTTAGTATAACTATTCATGTTGTGAAGTGATTAAATTTCAAGGAAATTTAATTTGATCTTCCAAAGCTATCACTAACATTGTGATATTTAATAATCTTTAGTTTGAAATGAGTGATTCTTATTTATTAAGTAATGTTAAACTATAATGAAGCTGTTATGATTTTAACTTAGACTATTAACAATATCAATGTATTTGTCGCATAATTAATTTAATAGTTGAATTCATGAGTTAACTGAAGCTAAATCACCATGGAAAACCTGAAAGCATTGGACGACCGTTTCGTCCTATCGTAGAACTCTTCAACAGTGCGCATCTACGTGGATTGGTTGAATTTAAACATGAACACCGTTGGATGCCAACTCAGTGGTCTAGTGGTTAAGCGCTCGTGCGCGAGACTGATAGGTCCTGGCTTCGAATCTCGCAAGGCAGAATGGTAGATGAGCACTGCTGAGAAGTCCCACAATAAGACGAAACGGCCGTTCAGTACTTCGAAGTTTTCTATAGTGGTCGAGCTTCAATTGACACATAAATCCAACTGTTAACTTACTACAATATCCACAAAAACCCTTCTCTAAGCATAATTTACTGTCTGGTCATAAAAATTTTCACATTTCTAAATCTTTGGCTATAACACCAGTAAACTAGATAATTAGTTACCATGATATTTGTTTTTTTTATTTGGCTTCTTAATAATTTACGCGAATACACAATTAAAATACAGGTACCGATGAATAAGTGAAAAAGGTGGAACTTTTAGGGCAATACTCCAGTGGACTACAATGTACATTATTATTGTCTCCGTGATGTGTGATTGGTCATTGAGTGTGGACAAACAGGCAATCAAAGTAATAACTACTAAATATATAATGGCGAGACCATAATTTATGAACGAACCAATCAAATATAAGATACCAGGTCTTGGATTTTGGCGCGGAAATCATGCATTCATTTGGTTAAACAGCGCTTTGGTATTTTAGCCTATATCAGTTCGTGATGGGAACCTTAAATCTAGTCCCTAATCTTAACTACCAACTGTAAATCATAATTCTAATTCCTCACACTGCTTTATAACCCTCATTTAGCCTTAGTAATTGGGTGAACATTCTGAGGGTCACTTTAGCGTCGCTCACAGGTCGTCCATAAATTATAGTCACACCGTTTATGTCTAGTACATGCACTGGTTCTTTATTACTGTTCATGACGTGATCCAGTCCGTGTATTGAATATTGACCGAGTATCCATTCTAGTAATAATAAAACCTCAGTCTTCAGTCCTATTATTTCATTGTAAGTAATATAATATGGAAACAAGAGAATATTTTAATTATTCCACTGTATAACTGAATCAAGTAGTTTAATCTATGGTAATATTTATATTGTTCTAATTGTAAGCTTACATTCAACTCATTAACTATTTGATTGTTTAACAGTAGAATATAGGACAAGTGTATTTTTGTTCTATTTCTAACTTATCATAATGGAAATACATCTATATCGAAGTCAGTGTTTACATAATAAACTCAATTCAGAACATATTACTTTTCACAATTGATTGATTACTGGGTGGTGATTAACTGGTGTCAACTGATTCTTAGTGCGGATCGAATGCTAACGACCAAGTTGTAATAAGGCCACTAATCTAGGTGACTCGACATTGCGTGCACTATGTTGAGATTAGAGGGTGGTTGAAGTTAGTCAATAGGAAACCCTAGACCCGGGTTTTGTGCTATTTGACACTCGCCAGCAAGGTGTACCTGTAATCAATCACTTGTGAATACATTTCAGTCCTACAGGAAGTCGGTCGCGGCCAGGATAGCTCAGTGGTAACGTCTCTGACTGTGAAGCTGGATGACATGTGATCGAATCCATCAGGGAGTACCAGTTCCCCTAAGATTACAGGTACACCTTGCTGACGAGTGTCAAACAGTACAAAATCCAGATCCAGGATTTCCTATCGACTACCTTCAACCACCATTCTATCACATATTACTTTAAATAGTATGTTATTATCTATAATCCTATTCTCCATTACTTCTTTTTCAATCAGATTCAAAACTTAGAAATTCTCTTTCTTCATTTTGATTGGTTTGATCATATTTGAATAGTATTCTATATGTATATGGAAAATTGTATGTGTTTGTAAATTCTATTGAAGTTATGCAAAGAATCTGTTCGTTTGTTTGTTTCTTTATAAAATAATAATCGTGTCATTATTTACTTTTAAAGATAAATAATTTGTTGCATAATAAATATTGTTTAAACTAATATTTGGACATATTCATGTGAATAGTTTAACTATTTTATCCTCTTTAGTTAAATGACTACACATGATAGCATTTAAAGTGAACAGTATTCATTTTGAGTCCTGGAATGAATAACAATTCAAGGAATACAGGTATATCGAGTTGATGAGTCCTAAATAGGACGAAACATATATTCTATATTCCATTACTAGTCACTATCTATCGAAACTTATAATGTTTACGAATTAAAGTAATATTGAGTCAAATCCACACAGGATACACATAAACCAATAACAGATTGAACTATTGTAATCCTATACAACATTAGGAAGATACAAGCAAACAATACCAAATGCTTCACAGATTGAAAACATGAGTCAGTTGGAGCTAGACCACCATGGAAAATCTGGAAGCACTGGATGGCCGTTTCGTCCTAGTATGGGTGGAGTTCAACCAGGTCTGTTGTGAGATATCAACTCACTGAAGACAATGGTGTACGGTGGAGCAACTTCGTGGATTAATTGAAGTTAGACATTAACACAATTGGATGCCGACCAGTTCAGTGGTCTAGTTGGTGAAGCGCTCGTGCGCGAGACCGATAGGTCGTGGGTTCGAATCTCGCGGTTGGCGGGACCGTGAATGCTCACTGTTGGCGGGTCCCACAATAGTAGGAAACGACCGTCCAGTGCTTCCAAGTTTTCCATGGTGGTCTAGCTTCAATTAACTCATGATTTCAATCTGTGAAATTTCTAAAATCTCCAAAAAACCCCTACTGATAATACTAAATGTGTTTAACAATTTTGTTTATAAAATACACAATCAAATGAAGTTCATTTCTCATTCAGTTTTATACGTGATGACTGACAACTTTATTATTTTATACGTGTTCTTTTCGTTGCTTTATTTCTTGTTTTTTGTTTTTTTTTGTTTTTTACATCTCTATTTAACCTAATTTAGTTGATTCGTCTGAGCGAAATAACTTTTTTCTACCTTCCAACAAATACGAACACTGTAGATGATTAAAAAGAAAAAATTTGATAAAGAAAAAAGAAAAACGAATTTTTTTCTTTTAGACTTGATCTTTTATTAATTTATAACTTAAAAATTTATTAAGTTTTAATTCAATAAATTTCAACATTTTTCTTTAGATTTTTCTTCTTTTTTTCTTCATCCTTTTTGTTTTTGAACTAAAGTTATTATGATCATCATCATCATCATCATCATCATCACCATCATCATCATCATCATCATCATCATCATCATCATCATCATCATCATCATCATCATCATCATCATCATCATCATCATCATCATCATCATCATCATCATCATCATCATCATCATCATCATCATCATCATCATCATCATCATCATCATCATCATCATCATCATCATCATCATCATCATCATCATCATCATCATCATCATCATCATCATCATCATCATCATCATCATCATCATCATCATCATCATCATCATCATCATCATCATCATCATCATCATCATCATCATCATCATCATCATCATCATCATCATCATCATCATCATCATCATCATCATCATCATCATCATCATCATCATCATCATCATCATCATCATCATCATCATCATCATCATCATCATCATCATCATCATCATCATCATCATCATCATCATCATCATCATCATCATCATCATCATCATCATCATCATCATCATCATCATCATCATCATCATCATCATCATCATCATCATCATCATCATCATCATCATCATCATCATCATCATCATCATCATCATCATCATCATCATCATCATCATCATCATCATCATCATCATCATCATCATCATCATCATCATCATCATCATCATCATCATCATCATCATCATCATCATCATCATCATCATCATCATCATCATCATCATCATCATCATCATCATCATCATCATCATCATCATCATCATCATCATCATCATCATCATCATCATCATCATCATCATCATCATCATCATCATCATCATCATCATCATCATCATCATCATCATCATCATCATCATCATCATCATCATCATCATCATCATCATCATCATCATCATCATCATCATCATCATCATCATCATCATCATCATCATCATCATCATCATCATCATCATCATCATCATCATCATCATCATCATCATCATCATCATCATCATCATCATCATCATCATCATCATCATCATCATCATCATCATCATCATCATCATCATCATCATCATCATCATCATCATCATCATCATCATCATCATCATCATCATCATCATCATCATCATCATCATCATCATCATCATCATTATTATTATTATTATTATTATTATTATTATTATTACTATTATTATTATTATTATTATTATTATTATTATTATTTTGAGAAGGGGTTTTGTAAATATTATAGTAATTTCAATAGTTAACTAAGTCAATTGAAGCTGGACCATCATGGAAAACCTAGAAGCACTGGAAGGCCGTTTCGTCCTGTTGTGGGACTCCTCAACAGTGAGCATCCACGATTCCATCTAACGGGATTCGAACCCAGGACCTGTCAGTCTGGCGCGTGAGCGCTTAATCATTATACCAATGAGCTGGCCGGCATCTATTTTGGCAATGTCTAACTTCAGCTAATCCACGAGGTTGCACTTCTGCCCACCATTGTCATAAGTGGGTTACTATCTCACAACTGACCCGGTTGAACTCCACTGTTCACTGCTTCTCACTAGAACTACAGGATATACCTGTTGAAGACAGTCACTAGTGAGTATATCAGAAAGAGGTTTTGTGGATATTATAATAATTTCAATAGTTGTGATTATGAGTCATTTTTAGCTAGACCACCATGGAAAGCCTGTGCTGAGTAGTCCCATACTAGGATGAAACGGCCGTTCAGTGCTTCCTGGTTTTCCATGCTAGTCTAGCTTCAATTGACTCATGATCTCAACTATTGAAATCAATAATATTTTTTGAGTGATGATTAAATTATTTGATAGTTGAATTCATGAGTCAATTAAACCTAGATCACCATAGAAAACCTAAAAGCATTGGACGATCGTTTCGTCTTAGTATCAGACTTTTCAGCAGTGCCCACCCACGATCCCACTCGCAGACGCCTTACCTCTAGACCACTGAGTCCGTATCTGTTCTGACGGGATGCAAAGTCAAAATTAGATTGATTTACTCATTATGATTTTTATTCAACATTAATTCTGTTTTGATTCAATTTGATAATCACTTATTATAGTATTCGGTTTCGTTTTCCTCCTATGACATTTTATTCTATATAACATATGATATTCTTGCATGAAGTACTATTTATATGTGTGATTTATTCTGATTATTAATCGAAAATAAGTGTACAAACCAATCTATAAATTAGTGTATTTCCGACTAGATTTATCGTCGTAATTGCTGATGCTTCTGACTGCTTGCGGAATATAATTCCCCGTTTCAAATTTGAAATTCTCTCTCTTTAGTTAGCGGGGCTGGGATGAATCAGAATAGCTAGCTTATTGATCTTTGTTCAAAGAGTCTTTGTTTCGTTTGCAGATTGAGCGAACTCGTAATCGCTTCAAACATAACAGTATCCAACGATGTTAATATCTAATTTCAACCAATCCATAAAATTGTTCCAACGTCCACCATTGTTTTCAGTGAGTTGTTATCTCACAACAAATACGGTTAAACTCCACTGATAAGAGCTTTGGTTAATAATATTTGTTTTGGATGATAATTAAATTATTTAACATGATTTTATATTCTGACCTGGTTTAAGTTTGCTACTGATATATACGTTTTCTATATGCTTGTTTATACCAACTTACTTGAATGAGAAAACTAAAAGTGAGTAAGAAACTAAATCGAAAACAAATTCATAACTCACTTATAAATCCACATAACTGTTTACTTCAAAAAAATTAAGCCAGATATTTTAGTCAGTAGTGTATTTCCGTTTCCTCAAAAAAAGTTAAAAACAAATCTTGACCATTAGTGAGTGTTTATCAATATATTTCACCTATCGTTTGGTTTGTTTGATTGATCAAATACATCAATTTTTCTTCCTTAAAATAAGTTTGACATTATGGATTAAGCTGTAGGAATTGAATTGGGAGTACATCACACTTTCTATTTACCATATGTTTCTTTTCCTTCTTTTGAAGAACATAATGAATTAAAATAAAAATAAAGTTAATATGTCGGATTCGAACCAGTGAGCTAAGTGCTACTATGTTCATTATTATACTGGTTAAGGTAAAATATTCAATGATAGATAAGATTTCAGTCAAACAATTCAGAGATATTGTACATTTAATAGAAAATCGGTTGGTTAAGTGACCTACTGATCGGTTCAAAGATAACAGAAAGTCATCTAATGGTCATGTGTCTAACGAAATCTCGATCAACTTGTGTCACTTATAACGTACGTGAGACACCCGTCTCTCGACTAAAAGACGAGTATACTGCATAGTAACTTGCGCTGTTTTAATTTATAGATGTGAAATATAGCTGTTAAGAATAGAGAATACTTTGGATTACTTGTATTTGATCGTAGGTGTCTTCTGTGTGTATTTTGTGACCCCTGAATAAGGAAAGCCTGGATTTAGAATAAGGTATGAGGTAAAGCTGGCAAGGTAGTAAGTCTTCATCAACTGAGATGGTTGGGCTATATGTTACGCAATCCCAACAGCCGCCCACTACGACGCTCGATGTTGTCTGGTATAGGAGTAGGCTGAAAGAAGACCAGGGGCAGCCAAACCAAAACATTGCACCAATCTATGAAGTCAGTGACAATTGGACTGAGCTATAATCATAAGCGTAAACTACCTGGTTGGAGTCTGTGTCATTATCATAGCCAGTGATTAGCGACTTTGAATGACATGGCTCAAAGTTGATTGAAATGGCATAGATCCAGTTATTCTTTGTCTTACTTCACATTTTGAACTTTTTGTTTTATTTCATCAACTTATTTTTTTGGACTGTATCTTTGATGTCTAGTCTTTTCTATTACCGCTAATATTTCTACTATCTTTACTATTCTTACTTACTTACGCCTGTTACTCCTAATGGAACATAGGCCGCAGACCAGTATTCTCCAACCCACTCTGTCCTGGGCCTTCTTTTCTAATTCCATCCAATTCTTGTTCATTTTTCTCATGTCTATTTCCATTTCCCGGCGTAATGTGTTCTTTGGTCTTCCCCTTTTCCTTTGGCCTTGAGGATTCCACGTGAGGGCTTGTCTTGTGACGCAGTTGGATGCTTTCCTCAATGTATGTCCTATCCACTTCCAGCGCTTCTTCCTGATTTCCTCCTCCACTACAATCTGGTTTGTTCTCTCCCACAATCTTTACTATTCTACCATTTTCCTAACCATTTCATTTTTGTGTTACTGGGGTATGGTAACCTTAACCGGTGTATACATGTACCTGATTTTGACATTAGGACGAAACGGACATTTAGAACTTTCAGATTTTAAACAGTGATATAACTAACATCAGTTAATGATATAAACTGTGAACATTTTATGATCTTCATAAAACCTTATAATGAAAATAATTCTAGACCTTTATATATAACGCCTGTGTGATTTTATAAGTTTCTTTTTGAACATCTAACCCTACAACAATAATCCATTAAGAATGATCTCACTAGTTAATGTATTAGTAATTTACACTACAATTATGAATTGCATCAACACTAAAAAGAAGAGAGAATTTATTACAAAGATTAATATTCTTTTAATTTTTCCAAAATCAAAGACAAAAGAAAGTCAATTTTCAGTTCTATTTTGTTACGTCACATGTTGAAGTAGGTAATAATAATAATTATAATAATTTCCATAGAGGGAATGGCTTTATTGACCGTATAGCTAGTTAAATGAGGTTAACAGTATTTAATGTACAAGGATTATATTTAAAAAAAAGAGAAGAAAGTGAGATATTCGTCTATCAATTAAGGGATGAGTATACTGCGCAACAGTTCGTTCTGTTCTATAGTACGACTATGAAACGTGGCCATTAAGAATAAAAGATATTCGTAAGTTGCTCGTAATAATGCTCGCATCTGCTGGGATCACCGGGTAAGTAATAGTGAGTTTAGACGCAAGGTATTTTGGAATGATGGTAGATCAGTTGATGAGGTTGTAAATCTTCATCGACTGAGATGGTTGGGCCACGTGTTACGTATGCCTAAATACCGATTACCATTACGCACAATGTTGACTAGTGTTGGAGACGGTTGGAAGAAAGTTAGAGGCGGCCAAACCAAAACATGGCATCAGTCCTTGAAGTCACTAACTTCCAGTCTGAGTCATGTTGGTAGATGCAGACTACTTGGATAGGGTCCGCGTTGCTGTCGTAACTAATGGTTGAAGACTCTTGGTGACATGGTTCAGAATCGATCACAATAGCATCGGTGTATATACTCTTTGTGTTCTGTTAAACCGTGAGATTAAAATAATTTCATATCTTTGTTTGTACGAACTAATTCTTTCTTTTTGTACTTTATATATTACAACATAGGGTTAACTGCTTCTATGAATCATGTGTTCATCTTACTGTGCTAATGAGATGTGACAACTTGGACCGATGCATGTATGTGCCTGGTCCTACGTTGTAACTGACTGACTGACTGAAGAAAGCTCAAATATATGTGAAAATATATATTTGAAATAATCTCATTGATTACAAATTAAGTATTCTCAACATTTTGCCAAAGTAAATTGGTCTGAACTTCATTAGGTAATTCATCAAAATTAGAATTATCAGTGTGAGGTTGTAGAGATTGTTAACGCCGGCTCAGTGGTCTAAGGGTTAAAAGTTTTCGTACGAGACCATGGGTACTCGGTTCGAATCCCGCGCACGGGATCATGAGTACACACTGCTGAGGAGTCCCATAATAGGACGAAACAACCGTCCAATGCTTCTAGGTTTACAATGGTACTCTAACATCCATCGATTCATGATTTCAATCCGAAATTAGAATTATTAAAACATCTAAGTGAAATTTAAAAACAAGTCTACTTTAAATGCTCAACCGACCACAATGTTCAAATGTTAATTTTTTGCTAAATGATGAGATAATTCATAATATGTATGTATAGGCCTATATACATTGCATACACATTCACATTTTGCATATGGTTGGGACTATTTAGAATTCAACTATTATAATCTTTGTTTTTTCTATACTCGGGATCCGATTGCTATTGTACTTTTCGTTCAAACATTGATTTATGTTATACGAAAATGTCTCAATAGCTCATAATTATGGTTAATGAATAAACTAAATTAAAAGCTTACTGAGGACT